CCCTATTTGAATTCCTTTTATTTTATTCTATTTTCTGATTACATTGGCTAGGACATGCAGTAATATATTGAAAAGGAGTGGAGAAAGTGGGTACCCTTGTCCACTTTCAGTATGACAGTGGCTATAGGTTTTTCAGTATATGGCTTTTATTGTGTTAAATGTTCCTTCTATGCCGATTTTGAAGAGAGTCTTAATTATAAAAGGATGTTGTGTATTATCAAATGCTTTTTCTGGATCAATTGATATAATCATATGGTTTCTATCTTCCTTTCTGTTAATATGGTGTATTACCTTTATGGCTTTGTGTATGTTGAACTATCCTTGCATTCCTGGAATAAAGCCTACCTGATCGTGATATATAATCTTTTTTATGTGTTGTTGGGTATGATTTGCTAGTATCTTATTGAGAATTTTAAATCTGTATTCATCAGCGATACTGGTCTGTAGTTTTCTTTTTTGTTATGTCCTTGTCTATTTTGGGGACAAGGGTGATGGAGGCTTCATAAAATGAATTTGGGAGGGTTCCTTCCTTATGAATCATTATAAATAGTCTGAGTAGAATGAAGGTTAGCTCTTTTGTGAAAATTTTATAAAATTCGGAAGTGAAACTATCAGGACCAGGGCTTTTCTTTGTTGGGAGGTTATTACAGATTCGATATTACTGCTTGTTTGGGTCTATTCAGTCTTTCTGTCTTCCTAATTCAATTGTGGTAGATTTATGTGTTCAGGAATTTATCCATCTTATCCACGTTTTGTTTGTTGGCATATAGTTGCACATAGTATTCTCTAATGATGTTTTGTATTTCTGTTATATCTGTTGTAACACTGCCTGTTTAATTGTGCAATAATTTATCTGGTTACTTTCCCTTTTCTTAGTCAGGCTAAAGATGTGTCAATTTTGTTGATCTTCTCAAAAAGCCACCTTTTGATTTTGTTTATTTTCTGAGTAGTTCATTTATTCTCTATTTCATTTATTTCTGCGTGGGTCTTTATTATTTCTTTTTTCTAGGCATTTTGGGGTGTTTTATTGTTGTTTTTCCAATTCCCTGAGGTGTGTTATTTGGTCTATTTGCCACCTTTCCATATTTTTTTATGCACACTAATGCAATGAACTTCTCTCTCATGACCGTTTTTGTTGTGTCCCATAAGTTATGGAAACTTGTGTGCTCATTATCATTAGTTTCAATGAATATTTTTATTTCAGTCTTAATTTCTTATGGTTGTGAAGTCACTCAGGTGTAGGCTTTTTATGTTCTGTATATTTGTGTACTTTCTAGGGTTCTTTCTGAAATTAATACCAAGTTTAATTTCATCATGGTCAGAGATGATGCTGGACATAGTTTCTATGCCTTTAAATCTGTAAAGAGCCCAGCACTTCTAATTCAAAACGCTTCTGAATGCCTCATGGAGTCACTAGGGACTTCTTCAGGGGATGGGAAAATACTGTATTTTTTATTACAAACAATATTGTGTGTATTTCACTGTTTTTTGAATAATTAAAAATGCCATTGGAGGTGATGGAAATTTACTCCTTCACCAGTGGACCCAATCCTATATGTAAGTGGTGGATGTGTAATATTTATTTTCCTCTCCTGGGGTCCTTTGGGAAATTAACAGATGAGCGTTAGCATCATTATAGCATGGTGGTTTAATTTGCTTAAAGAGACTTTTTTCTTTCTTTTGTAGCATTGGAATACCTGGAGAGTTTTTATTGTTGGCACTTCTGGCAGTTTATCCATAGTGATAACATTAAAACTGCTACAACAGGAGTCCCTGTGAGATTGTCTTCCCAGGCAATTGAGAAGGGTAATTTGGGAATATTGACTGTTCTGCAGTTTGTGTCCTAGGAGAGAGACTAGCAGAGAATAAGGAAAATACTGAGATCTGTTGGGTCCTCAGAAAGGCCACGATATATCTCTTCTGTGTTTTTCTATGCACAAATGCATGACTTTTCCAAGGACCCAATAGAACCAACAGAATGCCAGCCTCTAGGCTGGGTATTTTATATTTCTTAGCTATTTTAACCCTGAACAACAACCTGTGAGGGTGGTACTCATTATGCTGGTGAGGAAACAAAATCCTTTGTCTCGGTGTTAAAATAGTTAGTGGTTTGACAGCAAACTGCTGGTAAATTACCTGGCAAAGCACTTGCGATTTACCCAACACAAGCAGCCACACCATTTCTTGTGTGACTTAATAAATGAATTAGTGAATGACTGATGGATAGAGTGATCAGGAAGGTATATTCATATTTTATCCAGCTATAACAAATTATCACAAACTTGGTGGCTTAAAACAACACAAATATGGCCAGTCTGTGGCATGGTGGTTGGGGTGGCTGGATCCCACAGGACTGACTGTGTGATCCAAGTCCCAGATCTGATGGCTTCAAAACACACGAGGCACATGTGTGCATATGTCCAAAATCTGAAAAAAGAAATGAAAGAGAAGGGGTTGTGGTGTGACCATCCCCCATGGGGGGGGTTACTTTATCACTTTCTCTCTGTCTCTGGTGAGTAAATGTACCTCTAGCAAATTAAAACACACACATAAACACACACATGCACACACACAAATATGTTATCTTATAGTTCTGAAGGTCAAAGTCTGAAGTGAGTTCTCACCAGGAAAATATCAAGGTGTCAGCTCCAGGGGAGATCCATTTCCTTTCCCAGATTCTTAAAGTTGTCTATATTCCCTGGCTCATGGTCTCCTTCTCTGTCTTCAAAGCTGACAGCCATCACTCCTGACTCTGCTTTTTTATATTATGTCACCTTCTCTGACTTTGACCCCTCTTTTGCCTTGCTCTTCTTCCTTTCTCTTTTTTAATTTTTTTAAATAGATTTTTACTAAAGGGCATGTGTACTCACCAGAGAGACAGAGACAGAAAGTGAGAAATCACCCACCCACCTTTTGTTACTAGAAGCCAATGTTGGTACAATGCTAATAACTAACATCCACACTTTATTCAGATGTCCTTAGTTTCTACTCTTTTTTTGTACTTCAGGATCTCATCCAGGATACAACATTGCATTTATTTGTCATGTCTGTTAATTAAGTCTTAAAAAGTAAACTGTAGTGGCCAGTACGTGGCATAGTGGTTAAGGTGCTGGACTCCCACATAGCCAACTGTAGTTCAAGTCCTGGACCTGGTGACTAGAAAATTACTCTGGGTGCATGTGTGTGTGCATTCCCAAAATCCTGAGAAGAGAATAAAGGAGAAAGGATTGCAGTGTTGCCATACCCCCAAGGGGTGATTTCTCACATTCTGTCTCTTTGTCTCTCTCTCCACAGTAAGCACACACACCTTATAGCTAAAACCTAAAAAAAAAAAAGTAAACTGCATTGTTAAATCTTCCAAATATATAAGCTATCCATTTTCTTCTCAATTTCTTTGTTGTTGTTGGCTTATTGCTTGTCAACAAAGGTCATGTTTTTTATTGTTCCTGCCATAGTATCTTACAAATGTACTAACTAACTATCTGTTCATTTAGTGACTGACTTTCAGTAACTGGAAAGAGCAGAGGGAAGAAAGGAGAAGAGTTGGGGAAAGAAAGAAACTCTTTACCTACAAATAATTTAAAACCTCAGAGGGTTGAAGGGCCTTTAGTTTCTGTTGAGATTTCAAGTAATGTTATTCTTTTGACTTATGTATTTCTCAGGTTGGAGATTGCAACCCTCAATCGGGCAGATGCAGATCTAGAGGCTTGTAGAATGCAAATCAGCAAGGATATTATTGTCCTTCTACTTAAAAATCTGACCAGTAATGGCCACCTCTCGCCCCAAGCAGAAAGGAGGTTGGGCTCTGTTTTTAAGAAGCAGTTTCTGTTGCTGGAAAATGAAATACAAGAGGAGTATGACCGAAAGATGTTGGCACTGACAGCTGAATGTGACCTTGAAACAAGAAAGAAGACAGAAAACCAGTACCAGCGGGAGATGGTGGCAATGGAGGAAATGGAAGAGTTGCTGAAACGTGTTAGCGAGAGGGTAAGACAGTTACGAAATGAAGATATTCATTTGCCTCCCTCCTGTCTTTCTCTCAGTGATTCCTCATTTATTCCATCCATCCACCCATTCACCCATTATCAATGCATTCATTCGCCATGATCCATCCATCCACCTACCTATCCATCTCTCTATATATGTATGTATACACACACACACACACACACACACATATATATAAATATATCCATTCTTCTACCTATCTGTTCATCCACCCACGTACCCACCCACATTCATCCATCCATTCTTTTTTTAAAGTATTTTTTCATTTAACTTTATTATTATTATTATTATTATTATTATTATTAATTTATTTATTTATTTCATTCCAATTGTTATTATTATTATTATATTTGACCAGAGAGAGAGAGAGGGAAAGTGAGAAAGCAAGCCACCGGGTCCGGGGCTCAAAGCACAGTCAGCCATGTGGGAATCCAGTGCCCTTAACCACCACGCCATCTGCTGACCCCATCCATTCTTCTATCTGTCCATCCATCCACCTATCCAAATACACATCCATCTACTCATTATCTGTTCAGTCTTCTACTCATCCATCCATTTACCCATTCATCCTCCCACCCATATCCTTCTATCCATCCACCTGTTCATCTATATATCCATCCACTCATCTACCTGTTCAGCTATTCATCTGTCCATCCATCTATTCATCCATACATCCATTCTTTCATCCATCCACCCACCATTTGCCCACCCACCACCGATGTCCATCTATCCATCACCCCACCCATCCACCCATCTCTTCATCCATTCAAACATCTGTTCACCTATCTAAATACACATCCATGTACCCCTTATCCATGTAACTATCCACTCATTTATTCACCCATTTATTCATCCATCCATCCATCCAAAATTCATTTAGCAAGCGTTTATTGATCACTTACTATCTCTCAGGTACTGAGCTATACAGTGAAATAAAGGTACAGAGAAAAATGAGATGTAGTTCTTACATTCAAAAGCTTATAGTTTAATGAAAGACCACCCCTTTTTTAAAAATGAGTCATCATTCAGTGATGTCATACAGATATATTCATGGTGCTATGATAACTCTCAGGGAGAGGAGAAAGGCTTCATTCACTGAGGAGGGTGTCCACAGAGGGCCCAGTTTATGGGAAGTTGTGATGTCAGTGTGCATGTGCCTCCTTCAGTCTGCTTCATTATGGTTCTCTCCAGCACATACTCTGGAGTCAGGCACACTGGAATTCATATCTAGCACATTCTAGCTCTGCTTGTGAAGGCCTCGATTAGCCTCTCTAAGTTTAATGACACCTACCGTTTAGGGTGGCTGGGAAAAGCAGCCTCCTAAGGTGTGGGCTCCCGGTGCACCATGCTCAGTTTTGAAAATTCTGATTTCTCAGCCTTCCCCAGGGTGAGGAAGAGATCAATTCTCATTTTTCCGAAAGCTGTCAGTTGACATCTTGAAAGAAACAGCGTGTTTCCTGCAACTACCAAATCAAGCCTGGTTTCTGTCTTCTTTTGAGAAAGAGAGAGTCTTGTCTGACCCATGTGCTTTGGCCCTACATGTCCTCTTCTGAGCACCTACTATCCCGTGGAGCTCTGACAACGGCTAATGGGCAAGTGTCTGAACTCGTCTTCCGTTCCCCGGACTGTTGCAGACAGGGTCCCCTGGAAGTGAGTACGTAGCACTCCAGTTGACAGCTCGTGGATCATGAGCGATCATCTGTGGTCAGATGTGGGCTTGGTAGAGAGAAGCGGGATGCGATTTCAGTCTCATCCCCACCTGCTTCTTTGCTCCTGGGGTCCCCTTGCCTTAACAACGTCCCGTTTTAGGGTGTGACTGTTTGGGGTCCTGTATTTCCTGTGGCCGTTTTAATGAAGTACTATACATTAGGCAGCCGACAGTGACAGCAACGCATTCTATTATTGTTCTGGAGGCCAGAAGTCTCGATTCAAAGTGTCAGCGAGGCCATGTTCCCTCTGATGTCTCTACGGCTGGAATCCACCCTTGTTTGGTCCAGCTTCTGGCTCCAGACATTCCCGGGTTGTAGCTGCAGCACTTTATTCTCTGCTCCATCCTCACTTGGCCTTCCTCTGGGACCCTGCCATGGCCTCCTGTCTCTTTCTTATGAGGAAACGTGTCATTGGATTTAATGCCCATCCAGATATTCCAGGATGATCTCAGAAGATCTTTAACGTACTTAACACCGGCCAAGACCCTTATTCTGACACAGTCATGTTCGCGGGTCCTGGGGTTAGACCTGGCGCCAATTTTTTTTTGGTCATTGTTGGAGTGTGGGCACCATTAATCCCAGGACAGCGGCCTTGGCTGGTCCCACTTTCAGCTGTGGCATGCCTATGACTGTGCTGGTCAGTGCTGTTATTTCTCTGAATCAGGCATTTAGGAAGTGTGTTGAATGCACTGTTCAGTGATTTAGCCCCTAAATAATCTCATTACACCTTTCTTTCTCTCTTTTTTTAAAAAAATAAATATTAATTTGATAAGTGAATTATTATTTAATTTGCTACAGTGCATGTGCACTAACCTGGTAGAAATGGAGGGCGGCGTCAGGGCAGGGAAGTGGGAAAGCAAGCTGCTATTCCACTACTCTCCCTGCTGGCCCCTCTTTCTCTTCTTTTCTGAAGTTGTTAGTTAGGTTTTGTTTGTTTGTTTGTAGAAATAATACAGGCCTAGGCCAGTCTCTGGCTTGATGGTTAAGGGAGCTAGATCTCACATGGCTGAGTGCATGGTTCAAGTCCCAGACCTAGTACCTTGAAAAACACACCAGGCACATGGGTATGTGTGCCCCAGTCCTGAAAGGGGAGAAAGATGAAGGAGAGGGATTTCAGCATGATGTATGCCTCATTGGGGGAGCTTTTCCCCTCTTTCTCTGGTGAGACATGTGCCCTCTGGCAAATTTTAAAAAATAAATAAATAAATACAATACATGCTGTACAAAGAAAACTGGGGAAGTACTTCAGTGCAGCAGTCCTCGGACCAGTGCGTCTGAGCCCAGTCCTGCCCAGCCTGTTGTCATAGGACCCACTATTTGAGGATGGATTTTATAATGGTAAGGAGTTGTAACAGGGGCCAGCAGGTGGCATGGTGCTTAAGCCTCTGGACTCCCACATGGCTGATCTCAGTTTGAGTCACACACCGGGTAGCCTGGCACATGTGCATGCATGCCCAAAATCCCAAGAGGAGAATGGAGGAGAAAGGATTGTGGCCTGGTCATCCCCTGAGGGGTGATCTCTCACTTTCCCTCTCTCTGTCTCTCTCCAGAAAACCCAATGGAAAAAAAAGAAAAAGAGTTGTAGCAACAAAAATTGAGGCAGAGTGTATGACAGAGACCTTATATCATCTACGGAGTCTGAAATATTTATCTGGCCCTTTTCTTTACAAAAGTTTGCCAGTTCCAACTCTAAAGCCTAAAAAGAAAACCCTAAAAAAAGAAAAACATAGTGAAGCCCATTTCACCATTCAGAGGCAGAGAACCATGCAGGTGGCCCATTAATTGGGCTCCTACTATGTGCCTGACCCAGGAAGTGCAGTTAGGGCAAAGGCAGTCCCCACTCCTGTCCTCAGATTCCAGCATACATTCTTTTTTTTTTTACAAAGATTGATTTTTTTTTTTTACAAAGTCAGATTGATGTAGTTCATATCATTGCCCATCTTGCTTGTTTTCACTTTACATCACAGCATAAACATTTTCCGATCTTATTAAATACTGTTAAAGAATACCATGTGTAACAACCACAGCTTGCTCTCATTTAGGGTTCAGTGCTTGCTGGACGTTGTTCTGTGCACCCCATGTGGACTTTCTCGTTAAGTGTCCACACCGACTCAGTGAGGTAGAAATTAATAGGATCCAACTCGTACACATGAGATTCTGAAATGTGGAGAAGTTCACCTGCCCGAGGACGCACAGGTGGAGCCCAGATTCACACACAAGGCAGGTACCTCTTTCCACTGCAGCACACCGCAACCCTCATGCAGCGGCTCCTGACTGCCCTGTGTGTCTATCATGTGACGGCCTGGGCAGTGCATTTTATGCAAGGGACGAGGAAGACAGACGCTGCGACTGTTATTCTGTTTCTAACGGAGGTGAAGGCGCAGTCCCGCTCCTCAGGGCTTCCTGAACCTGCCTTTTCTCCAGCTTATCTGCAGTATGTCCTGCCCTGGCACGCAGGGCACCGGCACTTTAAATCTCGTAGGTCACCCTATTCCAAAACAAGCAGCCTTATGGCCAATTTGTTTCCAAAAATAACATCTGAACTGCAAACATGAATAGATGGTTACCTTCTACTCCATACCACCCACCCCGTCTCATAAAGCTACAAACCTTTATCATGATCTGCCGTGTGTTGTGGTCGTAGTTAGACAAAGCAAAACATTCATGGAAATATGTAAACAAAAATATATAGAAGTATTTTGGATTTGTTATTCCATCAAGAATAAGTTTTTAAAAAGCAAAATGAACAGGATTCATTTTTTTGAGGAAATTTATTTATTTATTTATTTTTATTTTGAAAAGTTGGCATTTATTTTTCCCTTTGCTTACAGATAAAATCTGTTCACATTGAAATGCCGACATCATCCCTAGTTTTCAAAGCATTTCTTCACCAAGCAGCCCTAGTGAGAGATGCAGGGACTTGCAACCCACCTTCCGCAGCCAGACAGGGCAGCTCAGGGCTGTGTCCCTCTAGGGAGGAGAAGGCTCTTGTAGCTCCCAGGTCCAGGACTCAGAATGATGAAAATGATTAAATCAGCCATGTCGAACCTAGCGGTCCTACCCTCCACTCCACCTGCTGGTCTGCCGAGAGGAGAGAGATCTTCTATTCCCAGGTGCGTCCTAGCCGGGCATGCATCTTGCCCAGGGCTACCTGAAGTTCCCTAACTTTTCTTACAGGAAAAGACTCCTTAAGTATAAGAACTCTTACATTTTAACCATTTCAGATGGGTTTATTTTTATAAAACAGTTTTACAATTTGTCTGTCTTACT